CATCAGAGCGTGCGATGGGGAATCTCCGATACATTTTTAATGCAGGTTTACACTTCAAATGATGACTATTCAAAAAAATGTTTTAAATGTATTACTTAATTACAAAATCATTTAGAAACCTGATTTCCACCCCCTTCTGTAGTGTTCTATAGGCAGCATGTAGTGGGTGGAGCCTGCATAGTCCCTCCCACATGTCACTGCTACATTTACAAGGTAATATTTGGGTTTGCAAAGGCATTTGCTGCACATGAAGTGGGTTTATATCCTTTGTGGTTATTGAGGGATATATCTGAATAAAAGTTTTCATGTGGAGAATTCAGCTTTAAACTCTGGGGGGGTAAAAAATACTTAACCCTTGCATTGGGGCTACCCCCAAGTTGTAAGGAGTTAAGTGCTCGTTTTTGTCTAGGTTCAAAGATAACAAAGTTATACTCACCCGAACGTCGGATCCGGGTGGCTGTGACAGAGTTCAATCCAGAGTCACGTAACCCCCGCCCCGCAGCAGCGATGGTATGGCCCTTGGCGTCCTCACATCCTATAGATAGGCTATAGAACGTGAGGACTCAGGGACCTTAGACTGTTGCAGTGGAGGGGGAGTGAGGCAGAAGAACCGCATCTAAAAGCCTGTAAGCTCCGAGGATCAGGTGACTATAACTTTTTTATTTGTAAAGCTGATGAAAACGAGCACTTAACCCTTGCAATACTGGGGTAGCCCCAATGCAAGGGTTAATAATCTTCTTCCCCAGACGAAAACGAGAACTTAACCCTTGCAGTGCTGGGGTAGTCCCAATGCAAGGGTTGAGAATCTTCTTCCCCAGAAGAAAACGAGCACTTAACCCCTGCAGTGCTGGGGTAGCCCCAATGCAAGGGCAGGGATCTCAAGTCTCCCTGATGTTCAAGGAGTCTCCCTCTTTTGGACAGCAGCTCCCTGATGTCCGCGAGAGAGGCATTTTCTCCCTGAAAGCTTTACTCTGAGTAAACCTTTCCGGTAAGATATCAGTGGGTAAAGTTTCAGAGTGAGGCTTGCCTCCTGGAGGAAGGTCATGTGATCTCTAGAGTAGCTCTCAGAAGGAAGAAGCTACTTGCTGCGCAGAGAGGGCGGACATAGACTACTATTGAGAGCAGGTACAGGCACTGCTGCAGGGTTGAGAGAGAGCTGTTAACCCTTTGTGGATAATATAGAATTAATTATATGTCCTGGTGGTCTAGTTATAGAGAACATTTATATTATTTGCTGCCCATAGCAACTAGTCAGCTGTGTATCAGGGACTTTACTCCTCAGTGTTTTTCTAAAAAGGTCTCGGGCTGTCTAATAAATTGTGACCTTTACACCGACAGAAGGTTAATAATCTCCTTCCCCAGACAAAAACAAGAACTTAACCCTTGCAGTGCTGGGGTAGCCCCAACGCAAGGGTTAAGAATTTTCTCCCCCAGAGTTCTTTAAAATATTAGACTTTCTACACGCTGCCCGAAAATCAGGCAGAATCAGTCCGGTTGCTATGGGCGAAGGCTTCATAGCCAATCAGTCATAACCCTAATTTATCCAAGTGAGCATTCTGTAAAATCATCAATAACGCTGGCTGTGTGGTGTACCGTTCTCTACATGGTGATTCCACAATAACAATCTTCTTCCTGATCCGATATTATACTGAATTCTTCAAAGGCCTGGAAATGGTTTAATAAAGCAGAATGATGTTATTACTGAGGCAGAATTTCAGAATACAATATAATTCCTAATTGTTCTATGATCATCATTTCCTCACAAGCTGATCATTGGAACCGTCATATATATATATAAATTCTGTCCCTGTGCCATCTTTAAATTGCTTTGATCCTGGGTGTGTTTCACCCCCCGACCTGTCCTGATGACTCCGGCGAGCTGAAATCGATATTCTCAGCGTGTGGCGAGCTCTGATAAGAGCGCGCGGCGCGGCCTACGGAGAAGTGGTGGCCTGGATGTTGTATTAGACATCATGTACATCAGCTGGTACTGTAGCTTGTACCTACGTGAAGAACACATCAACACGTTCCAGAATCATCATCTCCCTGTCAGTCACATGTTTATTGGGGAGTCTTTATTTTCCCGGCCATTGAGATAAATACATCAACCTGCTTCTACAATAGGGGGAAAGATGCACAAAGATTTACAAATTCTTCTCAAATTCCTTTTTTTCCTTATAAATCTACACACAACCTCAGCACTGTAACCCCTTGCTGCTGGCGGGAGCTCTGGCCCTTTAGCTGGGTCATGACTCCGGAGACCAGTAGGAGGTGCTCCCGTTCATACAGTCACTGTGATTGGCTGTGCAGTGGTGTTGTAATCTAGAGCCCGTTACTAATCAAAGGCAGTTGAGCGTGAGTGGTTGGTGACAGCTCGGTCACAATTATGGGGGTTCTGATTGAATGTGCCCCAGAACAGCACAATTACACAAATATGCGCAGTTGGGTATTAAGGCACACCTGTAATGCAGAGGTGTATTTACTATAAAATGTGCCCATGGTGTCCTGCCCAGCTCTTGGCAACCAGTGATGTCATGGCTTCCAGGAGCTTGGCGGGACGCCTGCCGGAACAAATAATCAGCGCACTTTGTGGGTCGGCAAACTTTCGCTGACCCATGGATCGGCACCGGCACCCCCCCCCTCACCCCTTCAAGTGGTGCCCAGGGCATGTGCCACTACTGCTGCATAAATGTGTCATGCTGTCTTATAGGGGGCACCAATTGAGCATGCCCCGGAACAGCACAATGATGCAAATATGCGCAATTGGGCATTAGGGCCTATCCGCCATGCTATTACATATATGCGTCACATTACCGTATATGGGGTAAAAAGACAATGTCACCAGAATAATAGATACATGTGTGTGCATTTTTTTTAAAATGTGTTGCTTTTTCCTTTATTTATTATATCTGCAAAATCAATAGGGATCTCATACTTCCGGGAGCGTCAGCAGTACATTATACAGCAATGCAGAATACCACCAGCTATAGAGGACTACAAATCCCAGCGATACATTATACAGCAATGCAGAATACCACCAGCTATAGAGGACTACAAATCAGTTCTGTGTGATGAGGGGGCGGGGATTACACCGCTCCCTCTCATTGGCTGCTGCCCGGCTGGATGATGCTTCACGCTGCGCCCGGAACAAGATGAGGGGAGCAGCGTGAAGCATGTAGGGGCCAGGACGGGAGGAAGAGGTCCCGGGACTGGTAATCAGCGGTCACCAGTGGCCCCTTCCTCCTGTCCTGGGCCCCCTCCAAGTGGCCGAACTCCAGGGCCCGGTCGCGGCCGCGACCTCTGCGACCCTGGTAGTTCCGCCACTGGCAACCGGCTATAGAGGACTACAAATCCCAGCAATACATGATTATACAGCAATGGAGAATGGCAACCGGCTATAGAGGACTAAAAAATGGCAGCAATACATGATTATAGAGCAATGGAGAATGGCAACTGGCTATAGAGGGCTACAAATCCCAGCAAAACATGATTAATAAACAAAGGGGTGGGAGGGGGCGTGGGCATTCATGTCGATGGGACTGCAGACACGCCTCCTGCCCACAGTGCAATTTCCTGCATCGGTACACATGGTACAGCAGTGAACTGTGTTCCAGTGCGGTGCACTATTGTTTGTGATCGCACCGCAATGGAGTGCTGTACCACGCCTTCTGGTGTGGGACATTAAACTGCAGGCAGAAGGCATGTCTGCGATGTCTGAACAAGGGACTCCAGACCCGGCAGGCTCTCGGCAGCCCATACTGGTGAAGTTCTATGGCATTCTCTCTCCCCAGGGAATCTCTGTGCCTCCCAATCAGCTGCATGTACCAGTGATTTACTGTGCCTGCTCTCAGGAGGGTTCCAGAGGGTATAGCAGGTTGATGCGGGCTCCAAAAGGGCTACAGACTTGAGGAGGGCTCCAGTGGTCAGAAGGGGTGTGGGCGTCAGGAGGGCTGTGAGTGTCAGGAGGAATGTGGTGGTCATAAGGGGTGCGGTTGTCAGGATGGGTGCGGCGGCCAGAAGGGGTGCGGGCGTCAGGAGGGCTGCAGGGGTCAGAAGGGGTGCGGGCGTCAGGAGG